GTGGGGTGGGTGCCTTTGAGGGGGGGCAGGGGGGAGGAATGATATTCTAAGCCTGCCTTGCTTTGAAATGGCAAAATGGGACGAAGGGTTTAAGCACAGCCTCGGTGGTTATTTCAATGGGAAGGGAAGGTTTGCTGGGCTGTCGGTCAAGGTAGGAAGCCCAGGGGGTCAGTGGCATGTGGTCGATACAGAGTCCATGCACGCACACACGTATGAGTTTCCAAGCCATGGCCTCCTCTTCGAAAAAGAAGGGACACCCTATACCCAAACCCGTTTCGAGGCCACCTGTGAATCTGACCCCATTTCTCTGTGGCCGACAGGTTGTGTGGATGGAGCCACTCGACGGGAACACAACGAGGAGTGGACGCCTGCTGCCGACCCCTGCCTGAAGTGCAAATGCCTGGTAACGCCAGCCTGGGGGATGTTGGGGGGGAGGTTTCCTCACCTGTTGGTGTCTCTGTCAGTCTCTGCCCACCCCCCACCCCCAAATCATCTTTTTCCGAGCTTATTTTGATTGGAAGTTTCTCCCGGGGCAGAGAGGGTGAATGTAAAGCCCATCAGGGCCCCCCCACTGTGGGCCCCCGTAGCCCCTGTTCCCCTTGAGCTTTCAAAATCCGTGCTCCAGAACAGACCGTTTCAACCCCTGCTTGGAAGGCGGCTTCCGGTATTCAACGGAACAAGGGCTAAGTCGGGTGATGGGGACAGGAATGTATGGGTTCAGGGGCGCCTCATGCTCTTCCCCAAGACCTCTGGGGTGGTGGGAGTGCCCGTTCTGGAGGAGTATTTTCTCCAGGGGGGAGTTTGGGGTCTCAGAGAGGGAGCGGATCACCCTTCGTCTAGGCCTGGAGCATGGTTCCCCAAAGTTTGCCCTACGGCAACCCGGAGTGCCACCCAACCCAACCGGGGGCACCACAGAATCCCCTCGTCTTTTGCCACCACCTTCCTGTCCTCGGCCAACGGGTTTCCCTGCATGCCCCCCCCCAGATCGTGCCTCACACCTAGGGGCGGACCCTGGGGCGAACCGCGCCCCTGACCCCAGATACCCACTGGTGCAGGTGGAGGAGAGGGGCCAGTGGCAGCACCCTTTGGATGCCAGGGAGGCTCCGGGACGGAGTCAAGGGAACGACAAAAAATGATTCAGGGACAGGACGTGCTTCTTGGAAGGAAAGCAATGATAAATCTTGACAGCATTTTAAAAAGCAGAGACATCACCTTGCCCACAAAGGTCCGCATGGTCAAAGCCATGATTTTTACAGTAGCGATGTATGGAAGTGAGAGCTGGACCATAAAGAAAGCAGACCGCCGAAGAATTGATGCCTTTGAAATGTGGTGCTGGAGGAGGCTCTTGAGAATCCCCTGGACTGCGAGGAGAACAAACCTATCCGTTCTGAAGGAAATCAACCCTGAGTGCTCACTGGAAGGACAGATCCTGAAGCGGAGGCTCCAAGACTTTGGCCATCTCATGAGAAGAGAAGACTCCCTGGAAAAGACCCTGATGTTGGGAAAGTGTGAAGGCAAGAGGAGAAGGAGATGGCAGAGGACGAGATGGATGGACAGGGTCATCGAAGCGACCAACTTGAATTTGACCAAAGTCTGGGAGGGAGTGGAAGACAGGAGGGCCTGGTGTGCTCTGGTCCATGAGGTCACGAAGAGTTGGACACAACTAAACGACTAAACAACAATACTGTGGATAAAGAAGGGGAGGGCAAGCGGAGAGCTGTTGGGTGTTCCCTTTTCCCTCTGTAAGGGGGCCAATTTGACCCTCTTTTCTCCCTCCAAGGAAGGCCACGTGCATTGCAAAAGGAGGCAGTGTGCCAGTCTCTGCCGCTACCCGGCTAGCCCTCGCCCAGGGACCTGCTGTCCTGTCTGTGATGGTGAGTCCCATAGAAGAACAAAAAAAAGAGAGAGTGGGTGAGAGTGCCTTGGATCGGGTAGGTCATCTGCAGGCCCCTTGGAATGGGGAGAAACTGTAGTTCAAGCTCTACATTACAGAGCAGCCCCTCATTAGAAATGGGAATTCCTTAACTTCTGAAAACATCTGATTATTTTATGGAAGTTTTTATATTATTCTTATCCAGACCTTCTGCCTTGAGGAATCCAAGACAGCTTAGGGTGTCCGTGTAGAAAAAGAAACTAATTAAAACTCGTAATAAGTTGCAATGTTAAAAAGACAGTCTGTCTACTTCATGTTTGTTATCTTCCTCCAGCAAGAGATTTTCATTTCTCAGACAAGTTGGCAACAAACCGGCATTTGCTGGGGGGAATCCGTGTCTGGGAAACAAACAAGACGTCTCATTCTTGCACGTTAACACTCGTGATTTCCCCCCAAAAATTGCATTTCTGGAGCAAGAACAAATGTTCAGCTTCTCAGGAGGTGCATTCTGTAAAATATGGTTTGACCCTCAGCCGGGGGAGCAAGGGAGACAAAGCCGAGCTACCCTTTGGGGGGGGGAAGAATCGGCGAAGGGGGCCACAGACAGATGGCACAGGGGGGGCAGAAAACGATTCCCCAAGGGGTCACAAGGTCATGGCAGCTGAAGGACGGCCATGTGGAGTCTGGCCAGCGCCTCCTTTCGTTCGGCCCCCAAGATAGAGGGGCGGAAGCGGCCCCTGCTGCCTCCTCTCCCTCTTCCCCGAAACGGGAAGGTTCATGTCCTGAGGCCTAGTCATGACTGGACTACGATGCCCATCATCCCTAGCCATCCTAGGCTATGACTCCCATCCACCCTTTATTTAGCTATAAAGAGTCTGGAGATCAGAGAACGTCCCCTGAAGCATCATCTGTGCTGATGATTATTATTTTACTTTTTTTTGCTCGCTCCTGCCCCTTTCTGTCCTCCAGGGTGTTCGTGGGAAGGGCGAGAGTACCGCAGTGGAGAGACGGTCCGGAGCAGGGACCCCTGCGCCCTCTGCCTCTGCACGGTGAGCCCTGCGCCCATTGGGGCTGAGCCCAGCCTGGCCTCACGGGAACAGTCGAGGGGCCACGCCAGTTCCGTCCCCTTTCCTCCCTTGTTTGGGATGGGGTGCAGGACCGTAGCGGGAGGGCTGCGCTGAACACCTTTCTGCTTCCTCCCAACAGGCCGGGGAGGTCTCCTGCAAAGACGGGGCGTCCGAGTGCCCACCGACCCCTTGTACCCACCCTGGCAAACCCCCGGGAGAGTGCTGCCCGACCTGCAAGGGTACGTTATGCCCCACACACACACACACACCTTTGCCAAGCAGGACCAAACCAGGCCACTTTTATCATATATCCGGGTTTTGCAGTGATTTGCAAAAAAGGACAAAGTATTCCCCCCAGGCCCTTTCTAATAGGATTCGTCAGTTCCCCCAGTTTCTCTCCTGAGTCCCTCTGGAAGTTTATGTCAGGGAATGTACCTGCCAGGTTAGCGCTGAAGGTGCACTAGTGTGATGGTCAGTAGGGACATGGAGAGGCAGATCCTGGCAGTTTGCATTGCCACCCCGCCCCATAAAGAGAATCTAGAGATGCAGGCTGCTGGATCGCACAGATCCGCGATAGAGGAGCCAGGCCTTTTGCGAAGTCGATGGCTCTTTATTTCCCGTTCCGAAACACAGCCACAAACGACTGCTCTTTAACAAGACACGGCTCATATTCCCGGTCGTACAACTCAGAGTAGGAGCAGCTGTCCAGTGCCAAACACGGGCAGGATTGGATGCCCATGAAGCCGTGAAATTCTCAGAAGAACCAGGGTCCAGTCCTTCTCTCTCACCGGGTTGTGGCGAGTAAAGATAAAGAGGAAAGAGTTGTGGCGTTGAAGCCAGAAAGGTGGGGCATCGGCTTAAAGAGTGAATAAATAAAAGAAATTCACTTGCAGGATCCGCACCCCCCCACACACCCGAGGTTTGTAGGTGTCCCATAAGTTCTCCTACTCAAATAGCACCTGGCCGTCCGGTTCTCAGCACAGAGGAGGGTCATGAGATGCCCAGAGAGAGGGTTAGGAGACGGTTGTAGGAAAAGGCCAGAAATGGGGAAAGACCGCTGGGAAGGGCCTGTCTTTTGGTCTCACGAACGCCTCCGTGCTGGTTTCCGGCTTCATCTCCCGCTCCTCCCATCCCTTTTTTTCCAGTCTGTGAATTCAAAACCCGCCTGTACCAGAACGGAGAGGCCTTCACCCCTGCAGGAGCCGGCCCGTGTCTGCAGTGCTCGTGCAAGGTGAGTGGGTGGGTCCCTGCCATGCGACGACAGTGGGGGAGGGGGAAAGGGCTGGGCCGGTTAGGATGATTTGGCGTTTATCCTTGTCGATGGCAGCGGCCCTCGGTCTGCCCTTGTGATGCTCAAGGAGGAATCATCTCTCATGACTCTGAGATTAAGCAAAAAAAGGGGGGGAAGGAAATCGATTCAGGGACAGGACGTGCTTCTTGGGAGGAAAGCAACGACAAACCCTGACAGCATCTTAAAAAGCAGAGACATCACCTTGCCAACAAAAGTCCGAATAGTCAAAGCTATGGTTTTTCCTGTTGTGATGTATGGAAGTGAGAGTTGGACCATAAAGAAAGCAGACCGCCGAAGAATGGATGCTTTTGAATTGTGGTGCTGGAGGAGACTCCTGAGAGTCCCCTGGACTGCAAGGAGAACAAACCTATCCATTTTGAAGGAAATCAACCCCGAGTGCTCACTAGAAGGACAGATCCTGAAGCTGAGGCTCCAGTACTTTGGCCATCTCATGAGAAGAGAAGACTCCCTGGAAAAGACCCTGATCTTGGGAGAGAGTAAAGGCAAGAGGAGGGGGGAACGACAGAGGATGAGATGAATGGACAGGGTCACAGAAGCGACCAGAATGAATTTGACCCAACTTCGGGGGGGCAATGGAAGACAGGAGGGCCTGGCGTGCTCTGGTCCATAAAGGGGTCACGAAGAGTCGGACACAACTTAATGGCTCAACAACAACAACATGAGCAGGGTCACGAAGAGTCGGACGTGACTTAATGGCTCAACAACAACAACAACATGAGCGAAATGTTCCTAAACTTAATGAGAGAATCCCCCCAATGATGGTTTCCACTTGAGCCAATCTGCTTCAGGTGGACTTTATGGAAAGATTCTCGGAGCAGGAGCGCCTCAGAAGGATACGATGGTAGGCTGGTGGTTCCCCGCCTTGGGTCCCCAATGTTCTCAAACTCCCAGAAGCCTTCACACACACACCCACATGGACTGGCCAGGATTGCTGGTGAGTTGTCGTCCGAGACCAGCCGGGGTCCCAAGTTCGGGAACCACTGCCGGGGAGGAAAGAAGGCTAAGAGGCTGAGACGAGAGGCGTAGGTATGATGGAAGAAAGGACAGGAAGGGGAAAAACAGGCCCATCTGGTGTTTCTTTCTTTTCTGTGTCCCTTCCTGTCCCTCCCGCTGGTGGAGATCATTCATTACAGGTACTGGAAGTGACGCCCAAACTGACCGCCCCGTGTCTCTCCTGGCCGCACTCCTGTACATCCCGTCCAGATTCGTGATGGTTAGAGAGCGGCACGAAACAAATAATGAAGCCCCAAAAAAAAGGCCATGAATCAGGTTCTTTCATGGTTCATTTGGGGGAAATTTGGGGAAACGGACCTGCCCAAAACAGAATGGGAACGATTATTGGCGCTGGCAATTGTATTTCATGTGATTTGGGACCTCCAGGAGCAGCAAAACAGCCCCTGCACAAGTTAGAGACACTTAACTCTCAGTGAGTTTTCAGCCGACTCTCTTCCTGGCCCCTTACAAGTTCGGTGAGAGAGCACTTGTCTGGGGGGGGCTGCTTTGGGGGGGGACTTTAACCGGGACATCCCAAATCCAATCTTCAGGGCAGGGAGAAGCATCCGCTGAAGACTTTCTGTCTGTTTTGCATCTCTAACTTGCACGGGGGGCTGTTCTGCCGCTCCCAGAATTCCCAAATCGCACAAATCACAAAACAGTTAATTTTGTCGGAAAGTTTGTGAAAGTTCGTGGTTCGCGAATAGCAAAATATCACAAACCCTCTCTAATTAGGGTTACAAGCATAGCCTTTCCTAAATGCTCATTTTTTTGGCACTTGTGGCCCAGCTGAGCCCGAACCAAAGGCTGGCCAGTCCCACCAGCCGGAACCGGGGGAAAGTCACTTCTCTTGCTTAAGGGTGTAAAGAATATGTGCAAATGTTTTCACCTTCAATTAAAAGTGGTCCCAAAAATTGGTCAGCTGCTGCAACAGGATCCTTTACTTCTCCCCAGGAGTGAAAACAACAGCTACCTTTATTTCCTTGAGTTATAGGAGTAACCAGAAAACTGTAATTTCTGCAAACAAATCATGTATATGTGTGTAAAATCAAGTCCCCTTCTGTGTAAAATGAAAGCATTTTACAAAGAATAAACGGCATAAAATGCATTTCTGGATTTATTTATTCATTTTGTTCCAAGCATGCCAAGGGGCAAAAATGCATGAAGTTTCATGCTCAATGTCGTTAAGCGAAGCACCACTGTATAAGTGTGTAAAATCAAGTCCCCTTCTGTGCAAAATGAAAGCATTTTACGAAGAATATACGACACGAAAAGCATTTCTGCATTTATTTATTCATTTTGTTCCAAGCGTGCCAAGAGGCAAAAATGCATGAAATTTCATGCTCATCCCCAGCAGGGAGAAAACTGGTGGAAACTCTTGTTTTCTTGGAGAGCGAATCAAGGGAAGATTTGCTTCGGGTGACAATGCCTGTATTCCGGGACTTATTCTCCCCATTCCAAATTTTTTTTTCCTAGCTCTGTCTCTTGTTCATTTCTGTCTAGGACTGTGGCTGATTTCAGGAAGCCCACAAAGGAGGAAACCCTTCAGCCTCTGTCTCTTACCTTTGTTTCCTCCAACACCAGCTGCTCAGAGATAGACTATCCTTGTGAATGGAGGCTCGTCCGATCTGTTGTAGTGGACAACCCGTAACAAAGGATAGAACTTTTGGGCTGACTTTGAAGCATCTAAGCTTAGAGACACCTGGTGGTGAATATCTCAGGTTGCACGGCTAATATAGGGTTAAAGAGTATTAGGGCCAATCCTGGCACCTTCCAGGCTTGTTGGATTACATATCCCATTGGCCATACTGGTTGGGGATGATAGGAGTTCTAATCCATAATGTCTGGATGGCATCTGGTTAAAAAGGCTTCCCGTATATTCAAATTGATTAATTAATTAATATGCCACTTTTCTAGGGGACTGTAAAAGAAACAACACTTTAAAAATAGCGATAGGTAAAGATTCCCCTTGACAATTTTTGTCCAGTCGTGTTTGACTCTAGGGGGCGGCTCTCATCCCGCTCTTCAAGCCATAGAGCCAGCGTTTGTCCAAAGACAATCTTTCCATGGTCACATGGCCAGTGTGATTTAGACACGGAACGCTGTTACCTTCCCACCGAGGTGGTCCCTATTGATCTACTTGCATTTGCATGCTTTCGAACCACTAGGTTGGCGGGAGCTGGGACAGGCGACGGGTGCTCATTCCGTCGGGTGGATTCAATCTTACGACTGCTTGGTCTTCTGACCCTGCAGCACAGAGGCTTCTGCGGTTTAGCCCACCGCGCCTGCCACTTTTCTAGGGGACTGTAAAAGAAAGAACACTTTAAAAATAGCGATAGATCATATTAAAAACAATTAAGCATTATGGTTTATGGTTACAAATGCAAGGTTCAACAGATGTCTTCACAGCCTTCAGGTGTGTGTACCTGGGCATTATTCTTATTTATTTCAAAAACATAGCTCTGTGTTTTGTCTTAGGTTGGCACCGTTAAAGGAGAGAACGGAAAAAAGCAAGAAAAAAATGTGAACTAGTGGGGCAAGTTTAACGGACTTGTTTCTGTTTGAGCTTTTCTGGGTCGAATGTATTCTTTCTGTCTCAAGAAGGGCATTCTGATCCACAAAAAGATGATACTGAAATAAATCTGGTAGTCTTCAAAGCCCCTCAGTATTTTATCCTTTATTCTTTTTTCCTCGTTCATTCGTTCATTCATTCATTTACTGCCTGATTGACCGGCTTAGAAAAATCACAAGTTAAGAACACCCATCCAATTTCATAATATTTATGTATTTATTTTTTTTACCATCTGAGAGGGTTTTATTTTAAAGATGTCCTGGAAAACTTTGTTAAACTTTTCTTCTCTCTCTCTCTCTCTCTCAGGATGGGAACGTCCGTTGCCAGGAGCAGCTCTGCCCCCCTGCGCCATGCTCCCAGCCTGTCCGAGAACCTGGGCGCTGTTGCCCATTCTGCAAAGGTGATTCTTGAACCCAGGGCCATTCCTGGGAGTAAACAGGGATTCCCTGTGTTTCTTAAACTTGGCCCAAACTCTCTGTTCCTGGGTGAGGAGGCCCTCTCAGTTTGAGTATAGCCTTCACCAGATCAGATTTCCGCCCCCCCCCGCCCCCAGTGGTACAAGAAAATGCAGCTTGGCTCACTTGTCTGAGACATCTCAGTTCCAGTTGTCTTGGAGTGCCCCAAAAATTGTGCCTGCCGTGCCACTCTTAAGTGGTTCAGAAAAGAAGGAAAAGGCAGTTTTTAAAAACCTTTCCTATCTTGTGGAGAAAACCATATATTTGGGCACTCCAACTGATTTTTTAATATTGTTCTGTCTTTATGCATTCGTTTTAAATTGAAATAGAGATTGCAAAAAGAATCTTTCTATATTCTAGGTTTGAGTCTGAAGTGTTTTAACACTTCTTTCTGTGGGCCACTTGACAGCCTGGTGTTTAAGTCTTTTAAATTTCATGCTTTTAATTCTGATATCCAAAGTAGAAGGGCTTCGGATGAAGGACAACCCAGAAATCTCCCTAAATAAATCAGAGTGATTTTTTTTCCCCTGCCAGTGCCCTGTAGCTGAACAATGGAGTTCCTGCCCAGGGCTTGAAAGGAAAAATGGAAAGAGAGCAAGATGATGCTCAGCCTGGCAGTTTTTAATAGGTGAAAGGAAGGGTTAATTTTTTACTTTGAAATAGCGAAACCCCAAATCTTGTCCAGTGGAGAGCATCGTCTCTCGGTGACCTCCATCTCTCCGGGTGTGTCACACAGCTCAAAGAAGTTACTTCTGTGCTCAGCGACTCTCGGAATCCCCTATACTAGCTGGGGGATTCTGGGATTTGTAGTTCAGTAAGCCCCATAATTTATGAAAGTTTTGGATTATGGGGCTGTGATGACCAGATTTTGCTCCTGCAGCATTTCATTCGTTCGTTCATTCGTTCAAGATTTTGCTCCTGCAGCATTCATTCATTCATTCATTCATTCATTCATTCATTCATTCATTCATTCATTCATTCATTCAATTTATATACTGCCCAGCTGTCCTAGGGCCACTCTGGGCTTTTCACAACCCAGAATAACAGACTAACAATATTCGTAAGTCAAATCAGAAAATATACCACAATTGTCTGTAGATACTGTAACCAAATCAAAATCAGACTGTGGAAAACACATTCTAGAAATACTTAAATGTTTAGTGAATGTGTAGAAGGTGAGAAGGTGTCATGGGTCAAACACCAGTGTGCCCAGTTTGCTGCCAAAGAGATTCCAGTTTCCTCATCCCAAGGCAGACGCACCACTGCTGAGTGCCAGGGATCCGGACACTTCCGTTTTGGGGTGAGGTAGTTGGGCCGTTGGCTTAGTCGCCTGGTGGCAAGAGGATGTCCACACCCACCCACCCACTCAAGAAGGCACGTCTTAAACCTGTGGCTGTTTTCTCTTCCTCCCCCCCCATGCATGTCCACGCGGTCAGTCTGCGTTCATGACAGTGTGGAGTTTGAAGATGGCACCGAATGGGAGCCGGACGAGGACCCCTGCAGCACCTGCATCTGCCACCAGGGGGAGTCAGTGTGCAGCACCAACCCGTGCCCCCCTGCCCCCTGCCAACATCCAGCCCAGCTGCAAGGTAAGGCTCTCAGCCTCTGCCTCCATGGTGCACAATGGGAGCTAAGCCACAGGGATAACAAGCCATTATTTTCACGTGCATTACCAGAACTGGCCACGAGAGGGTGCCTGAGACCATGCTATGAATTCTTGCACAATGGGAGCTAAGCCACAGGGATAATAAACCATTATTTTCACGTGCATTACCAGAACCGGCCACGAGAGGGCGCCTGAGACCATGCTATGTATTCCTCAGTAACAAGTACAGTATTCATAGCACAATCTCTGGCTCCCTCTAGTGACCCTTTCTAGTAATCCATGTGAAAATAGTTTTTTCTGGATTTTTTCTTTTAATATTTTTAGTATTTTCGCACTAGAAAACAGCGGGGAGCCATTTGGAAAGCCGGCGGCCATTTTGAAACCCGACGATCAGCTGTTTGCTGATCATTGTAAAGCAAAAAATCGGTTCCCGAAACAGGGAACCGATCATCGTCAAACGAAAATCGCCCATTTAAAACATTGTTGCGATTGCAAAAACGTCGAAGTAATGCAGATTCGTCGTACAGCGGGGCACGACTATATATGTAAATAGATTTAGTTGGTAGAAATCTATTTCACGACTATATATGTAAATAGATTTAGTTGCTAGAAATCTATTGTGTCTGCCTGATTTTCTAGACTGCTGGGACTGGAACGAGGAGCTTCTAGAACAGACGCTGATAAAAACTGTGCCAATTGGACAGAGTAATACTGATCCCATGGATGGGGGGTTCCTATTATAAATTGGCACCAGGTTTCAGTGTGGGCTCTGCTGCGGGAGCGATCCAAGGGGCTAAACCCAATCCCTGAAAAAAAGGTCAAGCCCCTCTGATAACTCATTTTAGGAAGTTCGGACTAAACGCCGGAGCAGGGTGGATTGAAACCCAGGCACTTCCAGGAAGAAAGGAGGCGAGATAGCGCTTGCTTCTCAAGAGTCGTGGGCAGGGTGATCCACAGCCTGCCTTCCTGCATGCATGGCTGCTTCCTGTCTCCTGAAGATGGCTACCTCCCGAAGCGCCACCGTTTGACGCTCTGCACCCTCTTCTTCTCTCTTACTCTCCCGCAGGCGAGTGCTGCCCGGGCTGCCAGCGGTGTTCCTACAACCAGCGTCTTTACAGCAACGGCCAGGAGTTTGTGGACCCAGAGAGCCCCTGCCAGCGCTGCCAATGTACGGTGAGAGCCCCCAGGGATTCAAAGGGCTCCATCTGCAAGCCTGGGGGCTTGAGCAAGGAGATCTGATGGAAAGGCGTGCCTGGAAGGGTGAACGTTCTCGTTTCCCTTAATGTGCGATGGGTGGATTTCAGGGCAGTGTCTGAACATGTGCGCGGACGCTCCTTGGGAGCACAGGGCCACTGATGGGTCTTCTGTTGCAGGAGGGGACTGTGCGCTGCTCTGCCATCGTGTGTCCCCCGGTGAACTGCCCCCGTCCAGAGAAAAAGCCAGGATCCTGTTGCCCAAAATGTCCTGGTGAGTCCTTGAATCCTACATTCTGTCCCAAGAAAGATCCAAAGGAATTTATTTATTTGCAGAATTTATATCTCATGTTTCCATTTAATTGAGCATCGTGCAAGGAGGGTAGGGTCGCCCTTCCTGGAAATGGGCGCAGCTGCCATTGCTAGCTTCAGCTGTTCAGGGCTGCTGGATGAATATCCGACAGCAAAACTGTTCCCAGAAGCAGTTACTCCTTTGCGGTATCCGTTTCTCACCCCTCCATGAGGAACACGAGGGTTTGGAAATACGGTAGAGTACCACCATATCCGTGGGATCCACAGGACCCACAGTTTCACTTATCCACTGCCTGAAAATATTAAATAGAAACCCACAGAGAAATGTGTTTCCAAGGTGTATTACCAGAACTGGCCACCAGAGAGGAACCAGAGGTTTCCTATATCCACGGTTTCCAGCATCCACAGTGAGAGAGGGACTGGTGAACCGATCCCATGCAGATAACACAGTCCTATCGTAACCTGTTTCTATTAAACAGGAGGAAGAGCATCTCGAGAAATTAATGCTTTGGAAGTCTCGTAAAAAAATGTTGAAGCTGACATTATTCTTTCAATGCATCAGTTGGCACGTCCTCTTTTTTTAATGCAAAAGTAATTAGTTTTTTCATGCGTATGGATTAAATCAGTGTATTATTTTTAGAGACTTCCCCCAGTTAGGACAGGCTGAAGCCATGCATCCAGAGAATTGCCCTGCAATACCACCAGCAGGATCTCTGACTTCTCTAGATCAAACCTAATTTATGAATTCCATATTTTTGTTTTTATTTTTTATTTCTTTTATTTATAGGCTGTTTTTCTCCCCGTAAGAAGACCCATAGACTTTTCCTGCTTTTCTTGCCCCCCTCCTGCTGCTGAGACTTTCCAGTTTTCCCCCACACACCCCTTTTGTTTGCTAAGAGCTGAACTGTATGTTACAGATAAATTGTCATTAGAGGAGAGAATTCCTTAACGGCAGAAAGCATCTGACTGTTGCAGGAGGAGCTCTTTTAACAAGCCTGTATCTGGACGGTTAAAGTAACCGTAACTCTGACAACTGGTTGTCTTTGATGAATCGTTCGGCTGCCAGTCTCCAAAAACCACAGCTGGATGAGATTGGGGTGGGGGCAGTTTGTGGGTGTGGGTGCCCACGAGGGAGGTGGCACTGTCAGAGAGCTTTCTCTCCTCCTCCTTCTCCTCCCTTGTTTGAACCAGGCTGCACTCATGAGAACCGGGTGGTGCTGGAGGGAGAGGAGGTGCCCAACCTGCTCAACCCCTGCCAGGCCTGCGTGTGCACCGGTGGCGAGCTGTCCTGCGCCAAGCGGCCGTGCCCGGGGGCACTGTGCGCCCACCCTCTGCCAGGATCCTGCTGCCAGAACAACTGCAACGGTAGGGATGGTCTGGGCCCAGCGTTTCCCCTTGCACACACACCCCTTCGGCTGCCTCTTGGCCCTAAAACTGAAGGGTCTCAGACCTGGCCGTCCTGCCTTCTCGGGTCGCGCTCCTCTCAGGGTCCCCTGATGTGCCAATGGCAGGTCATAAATTTGGCCCCCTTTTGATAAAAGATCAAACACCGTTCTCTCTGGCTGGAGCCTTCCTTGCAAGTTGAATCAGAGCTAGCTGGGTTTGCCGTGGCTTGACTCGCAGCATATTTCACGCTTGATTTCAGATCTGGGGATCCAACAGAGCCTGTGGATTATTTCGATGCCAGGATCCACCTTGGTCCCTCCGTCGAAAGGGCCGATTCCCTCTTTGCTCCACTTCCTATGCCCCGGCAGGGATGGGAAGAGGAGCGTAGCCTTTCAGAAGCGATCCCCCCCATCCCCGCCATCTTTGATCCCTTTTTGACCCCTTCCCTCCTCTCCTTTCAGCAAGCGGCCCGAAGGGAAAATCCCTCCCGTCGAAAGGGCCGATTCCCTCTTTGCTCCGCTTCCTATGCCCCGGCCAGGATGGGAAGAGGAGCGTAGCCTGACAGAAGCGATCCCCCCCCCCATCCCTGCCGTCTTTGATCCCTTTTTGACCCCTTCCCTCCTCTCCTTTCAGCAAGCGGCCCGAAGGGAAAATCCCTCCCTGCTTATGCCCCCCCCACCGAGGATCAGCGGATCCGTGGGGGGCATAAGCACATAGGAAACAAAGTGACAAATATAAAAGGGTTATATTCATTGCTTCGTATTCGTGGGGGTCTCTGGACCCCACGAATACAAAGCAGCGAATATCTGACGAATTAAGGATATTCAAGGGGTCTCTGGACCCCACGAATACAAAGCACCGAATATCTGACGAATATCCCAATTCGTTTTTATATTCATCCCCATGTTTAATTTTTATATCTTGAGGGTATTGTTTGTTTACATTTTATTGTTTCTATTTCCCTGCTTTTGCTAAATTCTATCTTAAGCTTGTTGGTTCTACCACGGTGGCCTTCAGCCAGATGGGCGGTAGAAAAAATGAAATTAATTAGTAATGAAGCCCATCTCCCCACCCCCACCCCCTCTGTCTTCAAGCGAGCAAACGGGGGGTGACCTTAACCCTTCCCTGCCCGCACAGGCTGCAACTATGCCGGGAAGGAGTACCCCAATGGAGCCGAGTTCCCCCACCCGACGGACAAGTGCCGGCAATGCCACTGCATTGTGAGTCCCGGAGGGGCTGGGAAAGCCTCCCCCAGGAGAGGGCTTTCGGGGGAGATCAGACCCACCTCCATGGGGAAGGGACCGGGGGTGGTCGTCAGGGTCTCTGGGGAGCCCTTCCCACCCACCCCTCAGCCTTCCTGGACTGAGTTCATCCTGCTGGGGTGTCCCTTTTCTCTGTCCCCCCCCCATTCCTTCCAGAACGGGAACGTCCAGTGCCTCACACAACGCTGCCCCCCTCTGCTGTGCCCCGAGCCCTTCTTGATGCCCGGCCAGTGCTGCCCGCAGTGCCCAGGTACGGCAAGGCATCGAGCCAGATCCTGACCCTCCTCTGATGAGTGGGGGGTGTGTCTCAGGAGGAGGGGGAGAGATGGGGAAGAGAGTCTGGCTTCCTGGTTTCCCTCTGCTTGGGTCTCTTCCACCCGCCTGGACCCCGAGCGAGGGCTTGCGGGAACACAAGAAATTCACATTTTGGGGTGGGTGGGGGTTACAGCCCTCCGGATCGGCCAGCCAGCACAGCTGCCTTTGGGGCTACAACACCCAGAGTGCCAACGAGAGCATTCTGAGATGCGTCGTCCTAAACGTGGCCCCACCCCATGTAACTGCCCCTTTCCCCTCTTCCTTCTGGCAGCCCCCCCAGCCGGCTGCCTTTACCTGGGGCTTTCCTACCAGCACTCGGAGCGCTTCTACGACCCATCGGACAAATGCCGGGACTGCATGTGCAGCAATGCCACCATCACGTGCCAGCGGCAACCCTGCGTGCCCGTCCGGTGTTCCCACCCCTTGCAGGAGGATTGCTGCCGGTCCTGCGACGGTAAGGGGCTGTGCCATCTTCCTCTGGCCCTTCCCGGAAGGGGAACCAGAAGCAAAGTCCTACCACGTCCGCCTCCGACCAAGGGCCACTGTGTTGGTCGCACCCGAATCTTCGGTTCTCCAGGGGTCCAGCACACGACCTTAGCAGCCTCAGTTGGGTCGCGATTAGGCGTTGGGTGGTAACAACGTATTTAAATTAATCATCCAGATCCCTATGTGCCCAGGTACAGAATTTAAAAAAGTGGAGAAGGTCCTTAATAGATCTGTTTTAGAAACTGCTTGAGCCCCAGGCTGATGCTGCTGTCTCATGGTGATAACATCAGCGGGAGCTAGCGGGAGGGGTCAATTGGCCAGTACCCATGCTGTCATAACCACAAAATGTTCAGTCCTCGCCTTATGATCTGGACATTGTCTCCTCACCCCCTTCCAACCTATCAGGGACCTGTCAGGGAGTAGGAGACCCAGATGGTGATAACACACGCACACGGAGATGGTCTTATTCCTTGTGTGCACCCCAGGTTGCCTTTACCATGGGAAGGAGCTCCCCAACGGAGAGCAGTTTGCAGACCCCGAGGACCGGTGCAGCCTGTGCTTCTGCTGGGAGGGCAGCATCACCTGTAAGCCCAAGGCCTGCCCGCCCGTGGAGTGCCCCTATCCTGTCTCCGGGCCGTGCTGCAAGGTGTGTGAAGGTACGTGGAGCGTGTGTGTGTGGGAGGGTGGGTCTGGAGAACACCCCTTGGGAACATTCCTTTTGCCGACGACAACTCCCAGGATCCGCACCCACGCTGGCAGGGAGCAGGTGAATTCACGGAACGGTCCCCACCACGGCTGTGAAGGTTTACCTGATGCCCTTCCTCTCCTGTGGTCCCTTAGGCTGCGAGTACCTGTCCGAGCGCTACCTGAACGGCCAGGAGTTTCCGGACCCCCGGAGCGCCTGCCGCATCTGCTCTTGCTCGGACGGCTTCGTCACCTGCTCCGAGAAGCCCTGCTACCAGGCCGGCTGCAGCCACCCCGTCCGGCTGCCCGGGCAGTGCTGCCCCACCTGCCTCGGTGAGGGATGGGTGGGTCGGCTCCGGGGCGGGGAGAGGAGGAGGGCGCTGACACAACCGGGGACTTGGGGGGAGAGGGATGAACGGCCGCCTGGAGGGGATCAGGAAAAGCCACACGAGCCTCGGGAATCCGGAAGGGCCTTCCATAGGGGGCGGGGGACACTGAGGGGGGGAACAACCCATAAGGATATCTCCCTGACCGGGCTCATATCTCTTTCCGCCCCCCTTACAAGTTCCTTTCTATGGGTCCTTCTGAAGCACCCCTTGCACTTTTGGTGGTGATAAGAATGAGGTGGGGGTCCCATGACTCTATCTATCTATCTATCTATCTATCTATCTATCTATCTATCTATCTATCTGTCTGTCTGTCTGTCTGTCTGTCTGCCTGTCTGTCTGTCTGTCTGTCTGTCTATGCTATTTCCCCGAAAATAAGACGGGTCTTACATTAATTTTCGTTCCAAAAATGCATTAGGGCTTATTTTCAGGGGATGTCTTTGTTTTTTTCACGTACAACAATCTGTGCATTGCAGGGTCTCTCGCTCCCTCTAGGAGCTGGTCCTGTAAATACACCCTAGAAATGCCTATAAATACAGTGGTGCCTCGCATAGCGACATTAATTTGTTCCACAAAAATCACTGCAGAACAAAAAGGTCGCTATGCGATATTAAAAAGCCCATAGAAATGCATCAAAACGCGATTAATGCGTTCCTATGGGCTTAAAATTCACAGTTCAGCGAAGATCCTCCATAGTGCCGCCATTTTCAGTGCCTCTAAAGCGAGGAATCAGTCCCTAAACACAGCGGGCGGCCATTTTGAAACCACCGATCAGCTGTTAAAAAATCATCGCTTTGTGATGATCGGTGCCCGAAGCAAGGAACCGATCATCTCAAAGCAAAATTCCCCCATAGGGAACATCGCAAAGCAATCACTTTTGCGATTGCAAAAAATGTGTTGCAAAGCGATTTTGTTGTAAAATGAAGCAATCGCTATGCAAGACACTACTGTACATATTTCGGGGTGTGTGGGTGTTATTTAGTATCTTCAGCCAGTGGGTAAGTGAACAAGGTGATGTCGATCCCACAGAGAGGGACCAGACGACTGTACCTAAAGCCTGCCAAGGGAGGTGATCACCTGCCGGCAAACTGTCTCAGAAATTCTGGTTTTCCCTTCCTGAAAGCAACAACGCCACTGTAACAAACTAATGAAATCACAAATTTTCCAGAGCTGCTTCTAGGGTAGGGCAACCAGAGCTTTGTAATTGGGCGGGGGGGGGGTCAAAAGTGTGGAGTTTAACTGCCATTCACCCATCACCCCCAAAAGGTACCGGCCAGGCAGGAGATCCAAAAGATTAGTTGCTCTTGTTCTGAGACTCATGGCAATCTTAGGAGCGACTGCTCTCCAGCCTATATTTATCCTCAACTGCCCGGCTCAGCTCTTGCAAACTCAAGCTCGTGGCTTCCTTTATGCAATCCGTCCATCTCGCATTGGGTCTTCCTCTTCTCCTGCTGCCTCCCGCCTTTCCCAGCATGATTGTTCTTTCCAGGGATGAACTGGTCTTCTCAAGATGTGTCCAAAGTAGGATGGTCTCAGTTTCATCCTTTCTTGCCTCCAGAGACTGGATTTGATCTAGGACCCCCTTGTTCTATCTTTCTGGCCATCCGGGGCATCTGCAAAGCTCTCCCCCAGCACCACACATCAAATGAATCGGGGCTTTTCCCCCCTTTCTTTTATTGTCCAGCTTTCACACCAATACACGGTGAGCCCTGAAATGCAAGAGGGTGGTTGATCTTGGCCCTGGTCTCCTGGGACACCTCCTGACACTTGATTTACCTTTATTTAAGAACCTAGTGGACAAAACAGTATTCCTGGGCAGGATCCCTTCTCGATCCCCTCAGAGTTCAGGACACATAAGAATGGGCTTAAGCGACCCGAGGCCAGGTTTGGGCTGAATATCAGGAGAAACATCTTAACTGTTAGAGCAGTACAACAAGGGAACCCCTGATCTCGGGAGGCGGTGAGCGCTCCAACGCTGGAGGCATTGAAGAGAAAATGGGGCCACCCTCTGTCAGATCTGCTTTGGTTTGAATTCCTTCCTTGAGCTAGGGGGCTGGACTGGACAGCCTTCGAGGCCCTCTTCACACTCCTCCATCATTCTATGACCGCCCTCTCGCCATAGCTGGCTCTGGATACCCTTTCTTCTCTCTCTCTCTCTCTCTTGCCACCAAACAGGCTGCTTCTATAACGGCATCACGGCTGGCAACGGACAGACCTTCCCGGACCCTGGAGATGCCCTCTGCTCCCAGTGCACGTGCCAGGTGAGTCTGCCATCAAGTGTGAGCAGGCCATAAGGAGATATAAGTCAATACCCATAGCATGGGGAAAGATACGGGGGGGGGGAGGAATAGTTCACCTGGGAAGGGGTTTGAGCCACAGGCGGCTGTCACAAGAGAAAGCAGCTTGCAGAGGTGCTTCTTAAATTTACCTGCATTCTTCAGTGAGTTATATAATCCAGGTGCATAGGTGAAAAAATTCTGGGGGGTGTTGTCATGTCGTTTCTTGCTAGGGATATGAATCTCACGGCTTTTGCTCTTGCACAGGAAGCAAGAAAAGGATCCTGATTATTTTTCTCTCCCCAAGAATTCCCCACCCCTTAACAAATCTCAACAGAAATCCTGGGGGGATTTCTTGGAAGTTTCATGCTTGTTTTTCCCAAAATGCCACGGTGCACGGATCATCCCGTCGCCTGCGCAGGATGGCCTGTGTCCTGTGCCGGATTCAGTGGGCAGGTCGGAAGCAGCGCAGGATTGTAACTGTTCCAGCACCGAGTGGTGTCCTTCCCATGCAGGACTCAGTGGACAAGGGCGGGGGCGCCGTTTTTTGCAAAAAGCTGGGAAATGTTGGAGATGCCGCAGGAAGTCCCGGAGAGGCGTTTCGGCACAGTGAGGCTCTGAGAATCAGCAAGAATGAGGAATTTTCTGACCCTTCTCTCTTGCTCTTCTCTTGCTCATGTCGTCCCACCAAGGCGCATGATGCTGATGGATCTTTGACCTCTAGGAGTCTGCATTAATCCTGCCATGTCCCCCCCCCAAGGGAAGCAGCTGAGGGAGGAGGGAGGAGTGGCTGGGCAGGGCCCCACAAGGAAGCCACCTGGGATTCATGTCTGGGGCAGGCACGTCGATTCACTTTCAGAGCGTGCCAGGTTGTGTGCCCCATGGAGGCGAAACAATGCTCCTTCTTTCACTGCAGGCTGGCTCCGTTCAGTGCCTCAGGAAGCTCTGTGCTCCGGCCCTCTGTGCCCACCCTGCGCCAGGGCCCTGCGGATGCCCCCTGTGCCAAGGTGAGTGCCCCCCCATAGCGAAGGCAGAGCCTCCTCGGGTAGATGAAGGAAGAGAAGAGCAGCAACCTAGAACTGGGCCCTCAGCGGAAGGAGGGATCTTAATAAGTGATCACAACCCAAGTCTAACTCTTTAAGTTAATTTAATTTACAGTAGAATCTCCTGCTGCCTGAAAATGCTAAGTAAAACCCTTCAGAAAGATGTATGACCCATATATATGAGCATGCAATGTATAGTATTTGATCGTTTCGTTTAGTCGTTTAGTGTCCGACTCTTCGTGACCCCATGGACCAGAGCACGCCAGGCCCTCCTGTCTTCCACTGCCTCCCAGAGTTGGGTCAAATTCATATTGGTCGCTTTGGTGACCCTGTCCAGCCGTCTCGTCCTCTGTCGTCTCCTTCTCCTCTCCCCGGAGATCTCCTTCCCCCAGAGATACTTTGCTCTTACTGTCATTGCATTTCATCTCTGTCCCACCTTTATTCCAATAAAGAAACACAAGGCAGTTCACAATAATTTGAAAATGCATGTATAAAGTCACAGGAAGGTAAGACATTATCATTAAATTAGATTAAATCAGTAGACGGTTAAAAGCATCATCAGCTCAGAAAGTTAAAACAAACTTAAAATGCCTGCTCTCATGTAGCTGCTTTGTGTGTGAGAGCCGTGGGCAAATGAAGCCCACGTTCGCCTCCCGTCCACCAACGGAGACCGGCTCCTTTCTAGATCTGCAGGAAACGTGCTGGGACGAACCAATGTCGCCTAGCTCTTTAGGGAGTTCTGCTTCTGACTGCAGCTGGCCTCTCACTCTCGGTGGCCTCTGCTGCAGCCTGAGAGACCCGTTTCCTCTTCCACAGGCTGCAGTTTCCAAGGGCGTGAATATAAATACGACGAGACCTTCCCTTCCCCGGACGACCCCTGCAAGGAATGTCACTGCCTGGTATGTCCTGGGGGGGCAGAGGTGAGGGAAAGTTGTCTTGGCTTTGGCTGGCATGCTGCTCGGGGGGGGGGGCGGGG